GTTCATGTACCTTTTAGCATTTAGCTGTGGTTCATGTACCTTTTAGCATTTAGCTGTGGTTCATGTACCTTTTAGCATTTAGCTACAGTTTGTACTTGTGTCCTGGTCCAGATGTGTCCTGGTCCAGATGTGTCCTGGTCCAGATGTCCTCGGGGTTCTGGGTCTTATGAACACAAAGTGAGACTTGGTTTATTCACAGGAGCTGGTCTGGGTGGACCCGTGTTGGTCCAGGGACGGGTCTGGACTCAGTGATCCAGCAGAACTGTTTATAATTCAGGACCAGCAGCTGAGAGAGAACCTGAACAGAACCAGGTTCTGCTGCCTCCAGGGAGGCTGAAGGAGGCGGGGCCTCTGAGGAAGATGTTTAATAAGTGATGAAGAACCTTCGGCTCCTCAGATCATCATCCTACAGAACCAACAGCTGAACATGTTCTGACCCAACAGAACCTGATCCAGATCCAAGGTCTGATTCTGAATGCAGCTCTGAGCCAATCAGAAAGAAGCTAAACAGTTCTTACCTTAGCTTTTAGCTTCTCCAGCAGCTATAGCTTTTAGCTTCTCCAGCAGCTGTAGCTGTTAGCTTCTCCAGTAGCTATAGCTTTTAGCTTCTCCAGCAGCTGTAGCTTTTAGCTTCTCTAAGCTCCGCCTCCCACAGAAAAGTGGGAATCACCATGGCAACCAGTGACTCAGCAGAGTGTCAGGTTGTGTACTGCTGGTCTGATTATAACTGGACTGTATCAAGCTGCAGGTGTTAGCATTAGCATTAGCCTCAGTTAGCCTGCAGCATGGTGAGGTTTGTTCTGTTGGGTTTTTCATTTCTATAACATTTAGAACTTAAAGCCTCTTCCTGTGGGCGTTAACCTGGACTTTCAAAATAAAAGGTGCTGCTACATGATGGGTCAGCTGGTTCTGGTCCATGATGAAGTGGGTCACTATAAAGGACTGCAGATCTGGGTTCTGTTCAGACCTGAGTCTTCTCTCGTCACGCAGTCCCTCAGAGCTCACACTCACGTGYACTCTCACACTCACGTGCACTCTCACACTCACGTGCACTCTCTGCTGTGGTGTTGTGTGACAGATCTGACATGTTTCAGTTTTCTGCTCCTTCAGCTGGTTCCTGCCAAGAAACCTGAGGGACCACTGTGTCCTCATAGTCCTGGACCATGTTGTCCTCTGTCCTCATAGTCCTGGACCATGTCCTCCTCTGTCCTCTTAATCCTG